GCAGGCACTGCCCAGCCAGGGTGGGGAAGAGGCACAGGACAGAGGCACAGCTCATGGGGTGGGGGCAGCTCCCACTGCTGCTTGCACCCCGGGAGGGTGTGGGGGAGGGTGTGTGCCCCCCAGATCTGCATGGTGCAAGGTGGGCTCGGAGCCAGCGCTGCTTTTCTTGCTGGAGGCTGGGTCCAGAGGGGGCTTCGGCAGCACTGGGCGGAAGCTGCAGCCACCCGAAATTTCGCCACAGCTTCACTCCCAGCCCCACGCCACTCCTCAGTGCAACCACGGCTGAATGCCCCACCTCCACCCAAGCAGTGGGAAAAACCCTGTGCAGTGCCAGCTCCGGCTTTACCCTCCAGCTGCATTCTGCCCTGTGCTGCACAGATCCAAGGGAACATGCCCTTCCGCCCCCCACCCTCCTAGGGCGCAAGCAGTGGTGGGAACCGCCCCCACCCCACGAGCTGCACCTCCATCCTATGGCACCCTCCTGGGCAGCAACTGCCCCTGCCCCCTCCCTCACCGTGGGAGGCACTGATCTGAACCGCCCCCCCCCCACGAGCTGCACCTCCATCCTATGGCACCCTCCTGGGCAGCAACTGCCCCTGCCCCCTCCCTCACCGTGGGAGGCACTGATCTGAACCGCCCCCCCCCCACGAGCTGCACCTCCATCCTATGGCACCCTCCTGGGCAGCAACTGCCCCTGCCCCCTCCCTCACCGTGGGAGGCACTGATCTGAACCGCCCCCCCCCCACGAGCTGCACCTCCATCCTATGGCACCCTCCTGGGCAGCAACTGCCCCTGCCCCCTCCCTCACCGTGGGAGGCACTGATCTGAACCGCCCCACCCCACCCCACCCCACGAGCTGCACCTCTGTCCTGTAGCTCCCCCTCCTCCCTGACTGGGCAGCACGTGCCCCTGCCCCCTCCCTCAGCACAGGGGGGTCATGGATCTGATCTCCCCATGCCCCTTCCCTTCCCTCTCCCCTTCTGACTTACCAGCTGGAGGCAGCTCTCCATGCTGCCAGCTCTGCTCCCTGCTGTGCTGCACACAACATGGGCATTTATTGGCCAAATTATCGGCCCAACGGGCTGATATCCGACATAGACAATTTTCTTTATATTGGTATCAATCCAATATCAGACCAATGCATCTCTAGTAGTTACTGAAATGAGGGGTAACAACTTATTGATAAAAACTGACTGGTATTTTCTTATCGTACAAGGGTTGTACTCGGAGGGTGGTGGTGGATGGGTCATATTTGACCTGGGGGGAAGTGGGCAGCAGAGTCCCCCAGGGCTCGGTCCTGGGGCCTGCGCTGTTCAATTTCTTCATCAGCAATTTGGACAACAGGATGAAATGCAACCTGTTTAAATTCGCTGATGATACCAAAATTTGGGGGTCAGGTGAGCACGCTAGTAGGGAGGGAAAGACTGCAACAAGACCTGGAAAGGTTACAGGAGTGGGCTGACATAAACAGGATGCGTTTCAATACTGACAAGTGCAGGGTGCTGCACTTAGGCAGTAGAAACCAGCAGCACACTTATAGAATGGGAAACTCCCTTCTTGAGAGCACGGAGGCAGAAA